TGATAGTGTTACTTCTGTACAATATAATATTTGTATTTTAAAGAATGTTTTCTAAATACAGATGGTCCACAACATAGGATGGTTTGACCTACTATATTTTCACATTATGATGGTGCAAAAGTGATATGCATTCAGTAGAAACTGGACTTTGAATATGTAATTTAAATCTTTTCCTGGAATAGCAATGTATGGCAAGATACTCTCTACTGATGAAACAAGCCACACACAGCTCCTTGTCAGCTACACAATCACAAGGATAAACAACCAATACTCTACAGCTGCAATTTTCTACCTTTTTCATCTCATGGCACACATATACTTATTACTAAAATTCTGTAGCACACCAAAAAAATATACTGTATTTTTTGCTGATCTGACAAAAAATGGTGTAATTTTGATTTATTCATACTGGACAGATATTGCTGCATTGGCTGTTGTCATTTTTTCATTTGACAATCTAAGGGAAGAGAGGTTAGTGCCTCTAACTAAAATAGCCAAGGGTTGCATGCTTTAAAAATTCTTGCAGTACAGCATCTTCACTGTGTTAGATAATTTTGCCCAGCTGTAGTCTAATATAAGTGTTCTGAGCATGTTTAAGGTAGGGTAGGCTTAGCTATGATGTTCAACAGGTTAGGTGTATTAAATGCATTTATCGGAATGTAACCCCATCGTAATAAATCAAGGAGCATCTGTACTTTGTCTCTATGCTATTCTTTTAAATCATGGTTGCATCTTAATGACATGAATTGATTAAATGAAGAGAAAAATTTCAAGTCAGTAGCGATCATTCCAAATTAAATAAAACTAATATCTAGTCTAGCAGAATAAGGTGGCAGAAAAATAAAACAAAACCTTAATTTTTATGGGAAGTTATCCAGGCAATTATTTCCATCATTTTGCAATGCTTTCTCATTCTTTGCAAAAATAAATATAGAGAAAATGTTCATAGTAACTCTACTCTAAAGAGTTTTCTTTTCAAGATTCAGAACTGCAATTAAACTACTATGAGAGATGGACAAGCTTATGGCAGATGCATTTCTGCTCATCACAGGTTCTACACTATTTATTCTGACATGAAAGAAACCACTGTGACGTAGTGAGCAAACAAACTCTAACGGTGCATCCAAAAAAGATGGATCTTTCACTCATCTAATGTATTCCATACCCAAAGTAGATGGCAGCTTTTCAATTACCTACAGAGCTTTATCTAATAAAAGATTAACATTATACGATGAAAAACAAACAAACTTTATCCCAAAAGGAAACTCCCTGCCCATCAGCAGTTGCCACAGTCCAAGGAAACCATCACCTGTTTTGTTTCTCTATAGACTGGCCTATTTTGGGCATTTCATATTAATGGGATCATATAATTTACAGTCTTTTGTGATTATGACAATGGTTACACAACTCTGAAAATACACTAAAAGCCATTGGTTTGTATACTTTAAATGGCAAACTTTATGATATGTAAATTACATCAGTATACCAGTGCTTAAAAATCAAGCAGTATGTAATTGCTGGGTGAAAAGGCAGTTCCACTTTTAGTTTTTTGAGGAAATTCCATACTGTTTTCCACAGTGGTTGCACCAGTCTGCATTCCTACCAACAGTCCATCAGTAAGTGAGTGGATCAAAAAACTATGGTACATTTACACAGTGGAATACTGCGCAGCAGAAAGAAGAAACTCCTACCTTTCGTAACAGCATGGATAGAACTAGAGAATATTATGTTAAATGAAATAAGCCAGTAAATGAAAGACATATACCATATATCTCACCTACAAGAGGAACCTAATGAATAAATATACACTAATGAGCAAAACAGAACCAGAGGCATGGAAACATGGAACAGACTGAGAGCAACAAGAGGGGAGGGGGAAGGAGGGTAAGGGTGGAAAGAAGGGGAAGGGACTAGTTAAAGCACATGTGTGAATGACCCATGGACATGGACAACAGTGTGGGAATTGACTGTGGGGGTGGAGGGTGGCCTGAGCAGAGGAGGAAAAAGGGGGTAAAAAATGGGACAACTGTAATAGAATAACAATAATTTTTTTTTAATCAAGCAGTTTGTATAGAAACACAATGGACAGTTTAGACAAAAGTGAAATGTTGCAAATTAAAAGAAGAGGAAAAACTGCTTGGCCTAGAGAGGGCATCATTTTCTTTCTGTCCTTGACCCCACACTAGCCCATCAAAACTGTACACATTGAGCCCCCAGGAAAAGCCTAACTTCATCAGAAGAAAATATCACTGTGTAATGAAAAATTAAATGTCAAGAGCATCGTACTTTCAGATTTCTGGGCCTTGGCAGGAGCTAGTTAAATAAACCTGTACTTGGGCAAGCACCCCCTTCTCTTGCGCGGACTGCTGAACACTTCATGTGCCAGTCTGTCTTCATTATTGCACCAAATTTTCCCAACAATTACAATATGAAAACATGAGAATTAGAGAATTTAGAGAGATAATTAAGCCAATTGTCTGCTTTGACTCCTAACCCTAAAATCCAGAAGAATCAGGAAATCTGCAACTTAAAATAAGACTCATTTTGTGCAACTCTTGATGTGGCCTACAATGGAATTTGGGGCCAACACTCCAGCTGGTTATCATCAAGTTGTTTTCTGCTGCTTTGTTTTGCTCTCTGCACACATAATCCCCTTGGAAACTAGAAAAGGAGGAGGCTCCATTGTTCCCCCAGCGCTAAACAGATATAAGACAGTGCCTGGGGTTGTAGACGATGAATAAATAACATGAAAAATGTAAACTCCTCTCTAAGGTATAATCTGTTGACAACTTTCATTCGGTCGAATATTTTTAAGAGACAAAAATGTTGAGAAGAAATGCTTTTATCTCCATTTCATTCAGGCATTCTGGAATCATTAAAATGTACCGAGACACACACTACAAAAATTCAGTATTTTCTACAAGTATTCATTTTAAATATTTCTTAACCAAGTAACCCACTTTATTTGAATTTAGGTTAATGCTTAGATGAACTAATTCTGAATTATTATCTATAGAAAAATATCATACATAATCTTTCCATAAAAAACCATATGTGTTTGCCTTTTTGGAAATAAAGCTTTAGTTTATCAAAAATTCGCTAGTTAGTCTTTGCATATTTCTTTCAATTCCTGTTGGCTAAATTTTCTTTAAGTTTTTTGAGAAAGAATATGAATGTAAAGATGTCTAACTAATAATAACAGAAGTTCATTTTTTCCAAATAATGATGGGAAGTTCTTTTCTCATTTTAGTAGGTTAAAAATTATTTTTAAAGAAGATAGATAGCTACCAGTTTATTCTCAAAATATTAATTCAAATCTAGATAAGTAAATATCTAATCAATAGTGTGGTTACCTAAACAAAAAACACAGCATAAGAAATTTAAGTAAATAGACGATATTTACCAATTCAATACCAGCAAATGTAACTACCAAAGATACAGCCAAAAATAAAATATTTTTTAACTTAAAAAATAGAAAGTCTATAATAGGTCCTGAAATTTAAAAAAGGTTATGAGCATTTATTTCACAATAAATTAGATAAAGTTTGTATGTATATTTATTTACTTGTATATGCATTGTTGTTATTATTAGAGGGGTTTTTTTCCCCCTGGAAGTGTGTTTATCTGACATCCTTATTTTGTCTGTTTCATGTTTTCAAAATGCCAACTATCATTCCTTGTTAATGAAAATTAAGGCCTTCTTTTGCCTTTTAGAGTCATAAAACAGAGGCTAAAATGGGTTTCAGAGTCAGATGGAATTCAGTTCAAATTTCAACTTTAATGCTTGCTACATGTACAATGACATAGAAATGACTTGATTTGTCCAAGTCTTAGAATTTTCACAAGTAAAGTAGGATTCCTGTAAAAGACAAATATAAAAATATATATTTATTAAGTGCCTAGAAAATAGCAGATGTTTGGTAAATAGTAGCTCTTACTATATTAGGTGTATAGGTGCCTCAGACGAATCCAGGGGGAAAAAAGGCTCTGTTTCAGACCTCATTTATTTTTTTCATTCAGTAGACATTTATTTAGTGCCTACTATGTATTAGGCTTTTAGATGGGCACCAGAAGACAGCATTAACAAAGAAACAACAGAAATAATATAATGCTAAATAGGATGACACAAATAGTATTATAGAAATACCAGTAATATATACAGAATGCATGTCATATGCTGGCACTTTAACACAGTATCTTCAGTCCCATTTAAGATCACAGAATGTGTGGCTATAAAGTCTGTGATTTTAACAAATGCACTATAATGCTTTTCTCGAAGAAAACAAAACCCTAGGCCACACACGACAAGTGTCCCACCAGACTGCCTCAGAGCTATCCAGTAACGGTGGTGAAGGAAGAGAAGAAACACAGGTCTCTGGCAATCTTACCCTCCCAACCGGACAATCAAATTGTGCATTAGTTGCTGAGAAATGCAATCTTCAAGAAAAATTCTGAAAAGGTTTTTATTATTTTTAAATCATCCTTTGAAAATAATTGAAAGTTACAGTGATTTCAAGGTTGAATTCCCTTCAGAATAATAAAGGCAAACTAAAAGTTTAAAAAGACAAAGGAAGAATAATTACATATTCTCTTTCAACAGACCTATCAAATATTTCTTTAGAACAAAATAACTCATTTAAAAAGAATACACTGTCCTTTTATATACCAATTTACTAATCTAATCAGTTTAGTGTCCAAAAAAAGGATATAAATACTATTTAATTTTTTAGTCAAGTTGATAATGGAAATTATTACCTAGTATGATTGCCTTCAGATAAAGAAGAAATAGGTAGGAGAAAAATTTATTTAATGAGGCCGTTTCACCCTTCTGGAGTGAGACTATCAAAATCATGCCACATTAGAAAATTATACAACTAAGCCAAGGTCTTATAAACTATTTGAACTATCATAAAAAAAGAACTTTTTGAGATCTTGAAGTAAGAGACTCCTACAGGCTCTATAGCACTTATAAAGATATTAGCATTTTAAACATCATTTACCTGTTTCAAATGTTCTTGTATCTTAGACTCCACACCTTCAAGGTGTGAAATCATTTTGTTGACACATGGTGCTGGAATGTTTACTAAAGAACAGCTGTGACGACGACATGGGTAGCTAAAGTAAATGCCTTTGTTCACCTCTAAAAGTAAAGCAGACAGAGGAAGTTAATTATCAGTTACATACAGTGTAGTAAACTTCATGTTCAGAATATGCAAAAATATTCAGCTTTATTAAACTAATACTGTTAAAGTGTTTTAACAAATATGTTGATAAATATTTCACAATTACAGAACCAGCCTTCTAAAAATTTAAAAGCTAAATTTATTATTTATGATTTAGAATGTAACAAATAAAATGAACCTAAGAAGCAAGAATAAAACTTCAAAGTCAAAAGGTCTGTGTTCCATAGCATTATGAACTAACCATTGGGAAAAAAAGTAAAGAAACAAGGCAGAAAACATATTAATCCATTTGTTTCTAAATAAATCTTGAATCACTTACAAGTGACTTTGAAATATATCTTAAATTCGCCTTTCAATGAGATTCCACATCTTCCAATGGAAATAATATCCAAGCACTCATGCATTGAAGGAGTCCTTCCTTAAATCCAGCATGAGTTTCTCTTGCTGAAAAAAAAATAAAAGCAGGTCCCCTTCATCCTCATAATAACCTCATTTTCTACCTTCCATTTCTGAAAATTGGAGTCTCTTTCAAAGAGTGATTGATGTTCTCACAATAGCATTCAAGTTGTACTCATCATAAAATCCACTCAGTCTGATGTGCCTCAATGATTCTAATCCCAGCATGTCCCAAAGCAACTGAAGGTTGCAGAAGCACAGCAAAGTTGTCCATGAAACTCCACCAAAGTGCTTAGTTGCAGTCCTTTTGCCTCTGAGGACTCTACTGGGCTAGATTATAGCTGCAGTCACTGATCTTAAATGCAAGACACAAAATAAGCTTGGTGCATCAATGAGGACAGGTGATGACCTCATTTCAGTTGACCTTGAGAAACACAGAGGTAATGCTATTGTCTACTGACTGTGTCTTTTGTTTCAATGTCAACCCACAGAGGTGGTGCTTTAGAGATCTTCATTTAAACTGCAGTCTTCTACATGAAGTCTCACAATCTCCTCCTCTAAAAAAAACCCACTGTGAAAATGGCATATCTGTTTCATTTATAAATAAAAGTTTTACTCTATCCTATAGATATATATGAATATATGAATGTGTCTATATATGTGTGTGTATATATGCATATATAACATATATTAAATATATGCCAACATGGGACTATGCTAAGTACTTTTTTTATCTTCACCTGAGGACATTTTTTTTATTGCTTTTTTTAGAGACAGAGGATGGGGGTGGGATTGAGAAAAATCATCAATGTGAGAAAGGAACATCGATTAGCTGCCTTCTATATGCTTCTGACCAGGGATCAAACCTGTAATACAAGTATGTGCCCTGACAAGGGATCAAATCTGTGACCTTTCAGTTTATAGGATGATGCTCCAACCAACTGAGCCATACCAGCCAGGGCTATGCTAAGTACTTCAGATGCAATGTCTTTTTTAACCCTCACAACAATCTTATGAAATTGGATTATTATCTTGATTTCATAAGTGAGGAAACCAAGGCTTAGAAAAATTATATAATATGTCCAATTCCACAAAACTGGTAGGTGGGAGAGCTGGCACTTGAACTGTATTTCCCTGGCTATGGAGTATAAACTAAACTACAGAGTTTGTTTTTATATTTTAAAAAATGTGGCAAAGAGAAGCAGTCCTAAAAATATATTTCAGGGCATCTCAAATGTTTCACATACCACTTTATTCTGAATTTTGAATGTTCCTTCAAGAGATCAGTGCTGATATTCTGAAGTATATTAGTTTGCTTCGACCATCCTGAACACATGTACTTGCTATATCTATTTTGTGTGTATGTACATTCCATATGTTTTTCTGTCATTCATATACAGATATATATTTTCATCTCTGTAATAGTGAAAGGAACAAAGTGCATGCTGGTGAAAATTACATATTGATCTTCTATGCAAGTATCTTGATAAGGGCATGTTGCCCTTCCTTTTAGAAATAAGATTTTAATATACATTTAACAACTAGACAGTTGCCCTTATACTCAAAACATCTGTTTTGCTTCATTAAATGTGGGGGAAACAAGGATAGTAATGACTCATTTAATATTTCTCTGTATGTGCCACTCTCAATCTATTATGTGAATACTAATTCATTTCCATAGCATCCCTATGGTTTGGGATTAACATTTTACATACGGTAAAGAAGGGAAAATAAAGCATTATAAAGTTAAATTTTGCACTAAAATTCTGTAAAAATACATGGCATCATAGCAGCAGAAGATAGAACCAAAATTCTGGAGTTCTTATGACTGTTTTTATTCTAATGCATGCATGGTGTAAGTTAAAACTTTGCATTTTGTTTTAATTTTCTCTACCTTAAAGAGACACTTAGATCAGTGAACTAAGTGTCATGTTCATTCACTTTTTGATTTGACTATAAACTATGATTCCTAAGCTAAAGCTACTCAATCTCTAACTCCAGGTTTCTCATTCAATAAATGAGTGCATTGGTAGTGTTATATAGAATATTTTGCACCTAAAATTCCATGATACAATGAGAATTACTGGTATTAGTCAAACATTAATTCATAGAGCTGCTCCTGGTGAAGTGGTCAGGATGTTTAAAGAATTAAGCTCAAACAGGACTTTCATCCTCTCTAAACATCTGCTCAACTCTAACTTTCTTGCTCAGAATTAATGTGTAAGTGATCTAGGCCAGAGTTGACATTTGTTGAGACTTCACAACATGAAACTTTCATTTGAGAGAAAATATGGACTGGCTGTTGTGTTGGCAAATGAAACGAAAATACTATGTTCATAAACTGTCAACTCTCCTTGTTCAGTGAATTTGATCCTTACATAGTTTATTCACACAGACATAATAATTTAAGGTGTATTTGAAATTTTAGAATGGAAAAACTAAAATCATATCAGTGGGTATAGGAAAGGATGAAGTGATATTGACTACAAAGGTCATGAATGAACTTTCTGGAAAGATGGGAGATTCTATATCCTGTTTAGATATGGTTAAATATGTATTTATGTTTGTCAAAAGTCATTCATGTGTATACTTGAAATGAGTGAACTATATTTTACTTAAATTTTACCTCAATAAATTTGCATTATAAAAAGACTACTAACCTAATTCAATAACCTCCTATAATTTGCCATCTCTTTTAACTCTTTATGCTACAGAACGGAGTAGACAACACTTCCCTGAAATGTTCTTTTTTAATAACTTTCTCTCACTTCTTCATTACCTATTTCTCCTCATAGGCATGACTCTTGGTAAGAAATAATTTTCTCTCTTAGTTATCTCCTCTAAATGATTAATTCCAAACTAACCAACTTTAGACTTAACTTTACCCTGAACTCCTTGTCAAAATGTACAAATCTTCCAAAACATATCCTTCCTGGAGCCTGACCCTAGCATTGAATGTAGAAAAAAGAAGGTGGGACTTGAGGGATCCTTAGCAGGAGGAGAGGATGAAAGTTAAAATTAAAATGTACACATTGAGAAGTTGATATACCATAAACAAGGAACTAAAGAAATCCATGATACCAGTAACCTAACATGTCAAAGCCAGAAGGGCTACAGAGGAAAAGAAACACATTTCTACCACCAGACATAGAGCTGGAAAAGACAGGGAAGACATACAGAGAGAGCTCCAGGATGGGAGGGATCTGATCCACTCCAGGCAGTGAGAATGGTGTTGACACAGAGTGAGTATCAGAAACTATTTGGCAAATAACGACATGATGAGAGACTACAGGTACGCCGAGATAAAAACTTTTGATTACAGGCCTGCCTCAAATCTACTTAGCATTAACCTATTTGGACTTTTTCAAGGCCGACAAGCCTGTATTCCTAAAACTAAACTTATCTTCATTCCACTCACCCTCTTTTTCTTTCTTCTCTGTTCCCACTATCAAAGTGTGCAACAGTTAAATCATTGTTGAATCCTCTTTTTATTCAAGTTCCTAAATTACTATATTGCCAAATATTATTCCTTTGTAATATCTCTTTAATTCCTATCTTTCTCAACTATTGATCTTTCATAAATCATGCCCTTATTACCTTAAGCCTGGCCTGTAATTATAAAGTAACCAGTATCCATATTTCTTCCTTTAGTCAAGTAATTCTGCATAGCAGACTCATAATTCCAAGCAAAGGATTTGGTTATGTAATATCTTTACTTAAATATATATAGAATCATTCCTGAGCCTGAAACTCAAAATGCTTTATTTTACCCAATTATCTTTACATTTCTGAATCTTCTCTATGCTGGAGTCAAAGTAATCTATTTTCTCCATTTTTTGTACTATTTCATCACTGTTATTTGACATTCTGTTTTTCTTGCTTAAATACCATTCTCACTTTTCATATACAAATGCATCCTTCAAGATTCAGTTCAAATCTGTCCTTATCCATTGACAGCTCTCCTAATCCTTAGAGACCATAAATATTGGTGTTACTCAAAACACTGAGGGTACTTCTTGTCCCTACTACTCATTTGTCATGTATTACTGTGACACTGTGATTTACAATAAATAATTTGTATTTGGCCTTTGTCTTGTTTTTGCCATAGAACTCCTAAAACCCTTGGAACTTCCTAAATGAGAGCCATAAGGATGTCCTTCAGTGTGTTAATGAGATGACTTTAGGATCAATCACCAATGGTCATTGATATAATAAAGCATGCCTATGTAGTGAAACCTCCATAAAAACTTAAAAGGACTAGGTTCAGAAAGCTTTGTTTGTATCGTTGAACATACAGAGATTTCGGGAAAGTGGTCTGTCCAGAGAAGACATAGAAGCTTTGCATCCTTTCCCCGTACCCTGCCCTACGCACCTCTTCCATCTGGCTATTCCTGAGTTATATCCTTTTCATAATAAACTGGTAATCTGGGAAGCAAAATATTTCTTTGAGGTTTGTGAGCCACTCCAGCAAATTATTCAAACCCAGGAAGGGATATTCATTAAAACCTCCAATGTGCAGCAGTTGGTCAGAAGCACAGGTGAAACCAGGGATTTCCACTGGTATTTGAAGTAAAGAGAGAGGTAGTCTAGTAGGACTAAGGTCTTAGTGGGATCTGATGCCATCTCCAGGTGGATGGTGTCAGAATTGAGTTGAATGTAGGACACCCAGCTGGTTTAAAAGAATTGCTTGGAAACCTCATGCCCACACATCAAAATCAAGTCCAGAAATTTTTTACCCTCACCCAAAGACATCATTTTATTGCTTTTAAAGAGAGAAGGATGTGAGAGAGAAACATCAATTCAATTGGCTGCTTCTCATCTGCACCCCAATGAGGGATCGAACCCACAACCTGGGTATGCGCCCTGACCAGGAATCGAACCTCCAACCTTTCCATCTATGAGATGATGCTCCAACCAACTGAACCACACCAGTCAGGGCAAGTACAGAAACTTTTAATGACCTTATTTCATCTCTCTTACTCCACATAACCATTCTTTTCTATTGTTTTGTACTAATTAGTGTATAGTTATATTTTACTTAGCCTGAAGATTATATACTCCACTTCTAAAATATGTATGCATTCTAATAGCACATATACATTCCAGTGTTTTTAATTTATTTGTTCATAAATCAATCATTTGATAATTTTTAAAATTTGTCCTAACCTACCTATGGCTCATAGCTAACTATGGGCAATAAAATCTAAGCCAGGACATTAAAATTCTATTCAAGACTTCTACTGGACAGAAATAAAGGGTCAAAATGGCAACTTATCCCAAGTTTGCCCCATCAAACTGAAAATTTCCAGAGCAGAAATTTACCAATCAAGATTAAATCAATATGAATTTTTTTGATGTAAAGTTCTCCACCAGAATGATCTAGGAAACAAATAAGAACCCCTGTACATCAAATATACACATTTCATCATCTCTTTCTGCTTATTTCCACATATAATATCAGAAACACTTTCAAAGATGCTTAATGGATTTTCAATGAACAATTTTTAATTCTGGATTTCACACCCCCAAAACATAAGTCCTTTTTTTCCTTTTAAAAAACATACCCTTGTTAAACTGGAAATTTTCTAGCACCTGCCAGTCTAGCATGAGCAATAAAGAAAATGCTCATTTTTAAAATTCATACATTTGTGAAATTGTAAACAATTCTTATGAACCAAATTATAATCAATTTATTATTAATAAAATATATTATTATATTCTAAATACTAGATAATTACTTTGTTAACTATTAATTAATATTTAGGTATTATTTCTCAATAAAAATATAATACTGACATCACAAACTAATGAGTGAATATAAATATAGGTTACATAAGTTACTATATAATTTACATTCAGTTCTCACCTTCAGTATTTGTCATTTTATTTTCAGGAAAAATCTCAACAGCTTCCTTAGGGGCACCAAATAAAACCAATGCTTGTGATGTGGCATTATCTTTTTCTAAGAAAAGAAACAATTTAGAAAGCAGTTAATATAAATTTTTAAATAAATTAGTGCACAAAACTATGTTGTGAAAGTACTGTCCTTGAAAAAGCAATGATAATGCAAATATTCACCGAAACCCAGAATAGAATGTCTTTAGATGTTTCCTCTGTGTTACTCTATTTGCTTTACTCTCACAAAAAGGTATCCAAAATAGCATGCCGCTATTAGCAGCAAACGGAGAGACCAATCAGAGTGATGCCACAAAGATAGTAAAGTAAGAGAGCCCAGCCTCCTCCTCCCAACAAAGGGGAACAATTAGACAGCTGTCCACAAACAAAATAGCTATAAGAGAGCTCTGGAGTCCACTTAAGAAACTGCAGCAACACAGTGGAACACAAAACCTGAGAATAACCACATAAAAAGTGAAGGAAGACAGCTTCGTTTTGCCTGCATCATCCCATCTCCCCTGGAGGACACTGCTCAGAGCCTGAAATAGCTTCCCTCACTGGGAGAGGGTGAGTGACCAGCTTCCCCACCTTTTTGGCATACTGCACAAAACACCCATTTCAGCTCTGCCCCACCCAACCAGAACAGCTGAGAAATATAGAGATGGCTTGGAACAGAGAAGAGTGGCAGAGGCTATCCGTATCAGTCATGCAGTGGAAGTGATCGTGGTTCCCAGAGGCCTGCTCTGCAGAGAACCTCAGCAGCATTTCTGGCAAAGTTGTCCTTCAGAAATGAAGGGGACATAGTTTCCCATACAAACAGAAGCTGAGAAAGCTCATCATCACTAGATCTGCCTTCCAAGAAATGCTGAAAGGGGTTCTTCAAACTGAAATGAAAGCATGCTAGTTAATAACATGAAAACATATGAGCATTTAAAACACACCAGTAAAGTATATAGTAAAATTCAGAATACTCATACTGTAGATACATTGGAATGTTAATCACTCACTCTAGTATAAAGGTTAAAGGACAGAATTACTAAAATATCTATAGCTGCAATAATTTGTTAATGGACAACAATATAAAATATGTAAATTGTGACATTAGAAACATAAAATGTAGGGAAAAGAAGAATAAAAGAGTAGAGTTTTTGTACATGATTCGAGTTGTTATCAGATTAAAATAAACTGTTATAACTATAAAATGATTCATGTAAGCCTCAAGATAACCACAAAGCAAAAATCTATACTAAGTACACAAAAGGAAAAAAAAAAGAATCAGAGTATATCTCTATGGGAAATCATCAACTTAAAAAAAAGAAAGGCAGAAAGAAAAAAATGAAAAGTATTACAAAACAGGCAGAAAGCAATAAACAATGGCATTAAATCCTCACCTATAGATAATCATTTTAAATGTAAATAGATTAAGTTCTCCAATCAAAAGGCACAAAGTGGTTGGGGTGAATTTAAAAAAAAAGACTCAACTATGATGTTACTACAAGACACTGATTTCAGCTTTAAGGGCTCAAGGTAATGAGATGAAAAAATATATTAAGCAAACGGAAACCAAAAGAGATCATAGGTAGCTATTCATATTCAGATAAAACAATCCCATTTAAAATAGCATGAAAAGAATAAAATACTTAGGAGTAAATTTAACCAAGGAAGTGAAAGTTCTATACATGAATTTCTGTAAGACACTGATTAAAGACACAAATACATAAAAAGATTGCACATGTATGCATGAGAAGAGTAAGTATTATTAAACTACCCATTCAATTAAATCAAAATTTCAACAACATTTCTTACATAAATAGAAAAACAATCTTAAAATACTTGTGGAACCACAAAACACCTCAAATAGCCAAAGCAATCTTGAGAAAGAACAAAGCTGGAAGCATCACATTTCCTTATTTCAAGCTATACTATAAAACTATAATAATCAAAACAGTATAGCTCTAGCATGAAAACAGGCATGTAGATCAATGAAACAGAATAGAAATGCCATAATTATATAATCAATTAATATTTGATAAGGGAGCCAAGGGTACTCAATGGGGAAAATAATAGTCTCTTCAATAAATGGTGCTGGGAAAACTGAATATTCATATGCAAAAGAATGAAACTGTATCACTCACAAAAATTAACTTGAAATTAATCAAATACTTAAACATAAGACCTGAAACCTTAAAAAAATGATAAGAAGTGTAAAAGCTCCTTGACAATGATCTTGTTAAGAATCTTTTGGATATGACACTGGAAGCATACCCAACTTAAAAAGAAATCAATAACTGGGACTACATCAGGCTAAAAAACTTCTAAAAAGGAATTCAACATAGTGAAAAGGCAACCTACTAACATAAGCACCCTTACGTTCGTTGCAGCATTATTTGCAATCACCAAATTATGGAAGCAAGCCCAAGCGTCCATCAGTAGATAAGTGGATGAAACAACTATAGGATATTTACACAATGGAATACTACTCGGCCATAAAAAAGAATGAAATTGTACCATTTGTGACAGCATGAATGGACCTAGAGGATATTATGCTAAGTGAAATAAGCCAGTCAGAGAAAGACAAATACCATATGATTTCATTCATATGTGGAATCTAATGAACTGAACTAACAAGGAAAATGGGGACAGTCTCATAGATGGAGGGCTGATGACAGCTAGTTGTAGGGGAAGTGAAGGGGTGGAGGGGTTGAGCAAAATGGAAAAAGGACTCATGGACACGGACAACAGTGTGGTGATTGCTGGAGGAAGGAGGTTATAAGGGGACTAAATGGTAATGGAAAAAAATACAATAAAGAAAAATAAAGTAAAGTAAAATAAAATAAAATAAAAGTATTCACTGAATATAAAAAAAGAAAAAACAACTTACAGAATGAGAGAAAATACTTACAAACCATCTACCTAATAAGGAGTTAATATTCAATATATATAAAGAACTCATACAGTGCAGTAGCATAAAAATAAATACTCCAATTAAAAATGAGCAAAGAACCTGAGCAGACCTTTTTCCAAACAAGCCATACAAATTTCCCACAGGTCATGAAAAGTGCTCAACATCACTAATCACCAGGGAAATGCAAATCAAAACCACAGTGAGACATTACCTCCCATGTGTTAGAATGGCTATTAATAAAAATGACGAGATAGCAAATGTTGGCAAGGATATAGAGAAAAGGGAATGCTTGTAAACTGTGGCATGAACACAAATTTGTGGAGCTACTATGGCAAGCAACATAGAAGCTCTTCAAAACATTAAAAATTGAACTTCCATGTGATCTGACAATCCTATTTCAGAGTTTTTATCCAAAGAATATGAAACCACTATCTCAAAGAGATATCTGCACTCTCCTGTTCACCGTAACATTATTTACAATGGCCTAAACCTGGAAACAACTAAGCGTCCATCTATGGATAAATAATGTGGCATATGTATAGTTTAACCATAAAGAAAAAAAGAAATTCTGACATTTGTGACTATGTGGATGGACCTTGAGAGCATTATATAAGTGAAATAAGTCATACAGAGAAACACAAATACTGTATGATGTTATCTGTGGTATCTAAAAAAGATTGATCTCATAGAAATCAGAGAGCGGAACAGTGGTTGCCAGGGACTGCAGTAGAAGAAATGAGGAGATGGAGGTCAAAGGGCACAAACGTCCAGTTATAAGAGGTCTATGTTCTTGGGATCTAATGCACAACATGGTGAACTATAATTAATTAAGCTGTACAAGTATTGTACACATATGGTCCCCAACTTACGATGGTTCAACTCAGGATTTTGAGTTTACAAAGGTGTGAAAGAGATACACATTTAGTAGAAAGCAGCTAGGCTTAACTATGATGTTTCATAGGTTAAATGTCTTCTTGCAATATTTTCAACTTACAGTGAGTTGGTTTATTCTGACAGCACCCTACCACAAGTCAAAGAGCACCTGTACTTCAAAGTTACTATGAGAGCAGATTTTAAATGTTCTTACCTTAACAAATACAACAAAATGGTAATTATGTGACGTGAAGGACATATTCAAAGGCCTTATGGTCATAAACTTTTCACAACATATACATGTTCAAATCACTATATTGCGCGCATTAAGCTTATACAATGTTATTTGTTAATTATAATTCAATAAAGCTAGAAAACATAAGTAAATAAATAAATGCAAATAGCAAATAGATAAATCATTATGTGTTGATATAGAAAGTATCCCAAGATACACCATTAAGTGAAGAATAGCAAGACACAGATTTGAATGTAAGTTTTGTTATCATTTTTTGCTTTTTAAAAAGGAAATAAAAAGATTGGCAGATATTTGTAAATGCATATAAAATACATAGATTAAGAAACTTTTAGACTAGTTACCAATGCGAATAGAGAATGAAGAAGCAGAAATTTTATATTTCATTTTACAACCTCTGAAATGTTTAAAAATTCTCAAACATAGGAATATATTATTATATGTCTAACAATTCCTTACAAAGTTAAATATATTTACTTTATAATATGGCAATTCCAATTCTAAACTTTTCCCCAAGATAAAGTATAGGACTAAAAATGATCATCTAAGAACATTTGTGACAGCTTTAATTCATAACAGGAGACACTGGAAACCTAATATTCATCACTAAAAAAATAAATTTTTAAAAACTCTGTAGGCATGCAATAGTATAATGTTGAGCAGTAAAAAATAATGAGCTGCTAATACATAAAGTGACACTGATAAATTTAAAAAAAAATAGACCGAGCATAAATAATCAGAGAAAATAAGATAGATAATGTATAATTCCATTACTATGAGTTTCTAGAAAATTAAAAAAACAAAATATCATGATAGACATCAAAATAAATGGGAAATTTTATGGAGTGATAAAATTATTTTCTATCTGGATTGGAGGGGTGGCTCTACATTTATCATGTAAACATTTAACAAAATGCATTAAATTGTTATTTCAAGATATATTACATATTGTAATATTACATATTACAATATGTAAATTATAAAATAAAAAAGAATTACATATATGCTCTAATGGCACTAAAATTTTTTGATAGATTATATGAGCATACATAAATATAAGATTTAGATGGTTGCAGAAGATCCAGTACTAGTATTTAGTAGTCATTACAAGTAGGACATTTACCTTCTAAAACCCCACTAAAAAATAAAATGAGGCAAAAATAAATTCATAGGAAAAATTAACAAACATAAAAGAAATAGTGTATTAAAAAAGTATAAAAATGACAAAAATAGTGCTA